TATTCACTTGTAAAAGTGATTAGTAAATTTAAAATGTGGAAAAATCTACTTATATTAGCCCCTTCTCTAAAATTGTGTTGATGTTACAAGCATGTGAAACCAAGTCACTCTCAGTTGAGGCTGTCTGTGACCTGATTTGTTGTGAGATGGAGACATCTGTTCGATCTGGGTGTGTTTCTCCAGAGGCACCTTCATTTACTAGGTTGACTTCTCATGAGGCCAGTTTGGATCAACCACTTCCTGCTCCTTTTATTCAGTAAGTCAATCAGGTGTGTGAGGTTCTGGGGCTTTCCCCAGTTGCTTTTGAGTCTATACTTTCCTTGAGGGCAGAGAGATCTGAGGGTGAATACTTAGTTTTCCTACATCACCTGATATTGATGTTCATGTAGGGAGGTTTACTGCTCAGTCACATGAAGGGATAGCTATGCCTTGTTTGCCATGTTTGTCAGAACAACATGTTTTGGCTTATCACTGCCAGGAGGATTTATATTTAGATACCCAAAGACTTGATCCACTTTTGGAAATGTGGGTTTCCAGAATGGAACACAGATCACAATTTTCTAGGATTCGGCTGACCCTCACTACAGTTTTGAGATATATTTTCCCTCAAAATTTTACCAGAAGCCTCTCAGATATCCCCACATCAATTTGATGATGATTTGGAATCTTTGCTGACATCTACCTTGGTACAGTTATCAGCTTCTGCTCTTTTTTTTGTTTCCTGGCTGGTATGTTGTTGGGACTTATTGGGTAGAGATGCCTTGTTGGAGGGTGTTCATCTACCTGCTGCCACCATCTATGAGATATGTGAGGCTCCCTTTCTGCATCCCTTGATGTTTGTAGGCATTCCAGAGGCATTAGGTATTTTCAATAATGCTTACCTCTGCTCCCACCCTTCCTCCCCACTAAGAGGGAGTGTTAGTGACTGCAATGGAATCAGTTTCAAAAAAGTGATAACATTGTCTGAATGAGGTGCTTATATACGATACCAGGATAGAGAATGCATTGACATAGGTGGAGAGTATCACAAAATAAATATCGCCAAGGGCAATTGAGTGGGGTATAAAAGACTGGAGCAAGCGGGAAAACATTAGACCAATGCTGAGATGGGTAAAGGAAGAAATCCTGGCATCAAGTAATAGCTATACGTGTGAGAGGAGGTAAGTATTATTGGAAATACATTTTCAATTTAGGAAAATGTTAACCTACCTAATGTTTTTTTTTTGGGGGGGGGTACTTCATAATTTGATGGTTTTGATTCCTGTTGCCTCTAAATTTACTATTCCTCTCATTATTATTGCTTAGTTACTAAGGCTATCTGCCATTGTCACTAATTTTGCACTGCTAACTAAAGGGAAGGCAACTGGTTGGTAACACCAACCACCAATTCTGACTACTTACTACTAAATAGTGTAGATTTACTGTTTTTTACATGTTTCTGATTTATAACTGCATAAATATTCATTAAGACTGTATAAGTAAGTAGAGATTTAAGAGAGGGGCCCAGGGAGTCTAGACCTCCATCCATTTTCATTCCAAAAATTAAATATTGTATTCTTTAATGTTGTTTAAGTAGGTTTATTTTTAATGAAGAGGTCCAAGGGGCAAACCCCCACATGTTGTCTTTCAGAAATTAACAATTATATTATTTAATATTGTATAACTAGGCACAGATCTAGGGGGGGGGGGCAAACACTCTCCATTTTTTGTTCAGAAATTAATAAAAAAATAGCCAGTAGTATCAAAACAATATTAGATGTCATTGTTTTTTATTAGTCTGTTAATTACTCAGCCAATAACTGTGTTTAAATTAATAAAATAATATGAATTTCAATTAAACATTGCCATGGTAAATTTTCTTGCCTTGGGTTTTTTTCTAGACACACTAACACTGTGTGTATGCGCTAGATTTCAGATATTTGTTTTTTATAACTGTAATGCTAAGGACACTTGCAACTAGGATATACTTGTTATGAAATTGATTTTTCATTCTTTGGAAGTTATAATACTCATGAGAAAGATATTTTTGTGTTTTTGACATCCAAAATGTGCAAAAGTGCTGTGACTTCAGAAAATGAAAACAAACGTATATATTGAAGTAAGTGTATATAAGGGACCAAGGTGGGTGGGGGGTCATGGTGTTTGATTCAGTACATGAGCGATATCTTAGCAAATAGAAAAGATAAGAGGTTCTCATTTTATATTCTAACTTGTCAATATTGGTAATTTGAGTTCCTAATTCATATGCAACTATATACTTAGTATTTTGACATCACAAACATATAATTTGAACCAGTGCTGCATTCAGCGTACCACCTGACACAAAAAAAATCGATGTTTAACTGTGTTTTTATATTTAGTTTTAAATTAAGATATTGAATAATGTATAGTACTAAAATT